CAAGTTGTTAAAACACTAGAACTGGGTACACTTACGATCAAATTTATAACTGTGACAAAAGTAGTTTGAATTATAAATTGCTTTCATCAAAAACATGGACACTATCTCAACAGGTAAAATATTCTTTGTGTAAACGAAATATGAAAAAATTAAGGAAATTTTCAAATGGTACCCAGAGCACTGTCAGTGTATTATAAGATACATAAAATTGAGTGGAAGAATGCAAACTTATTCACCACCTGATTTAAGGAAAATTTTCTGCCACTAGTCACTAAGGAATAATACAACACAAAAAAGGCAAGCCAAGATAGAAATGAATAGAGTAAATTGTGGAGAATGGAAAAATTAATCAGAAAACCCCGGAGGAAATAAAAATAATGGAAGAAAAAGGAAGACTAGAGGAGATGGATGAATTGAAAATGTATATAACTAATTTAAATCTGACAATTGAAATGGTTTTTAAGTGAAGAAAGAAAAAATACATTTTATAATTTGACATATATCTTCAGTTTCATGTCTCATTCACTAAATGTTACTTATTATAAAAGCATGCAACACATTTTATTAATTTTTTGTTTTTTAGCTCCTTGATTAATACCCGAAAATCTTCTTAGCACAAGAGTACTAAGAGGTATTTTTCAGTTTATGTAATGCTTCGTCTTTTGCTTTTTTTTTTCTTGAAAACTTAGATGCTCATATTTTATAAGTACCTATGTTGACAACATAATCATAATAGCCCAATAAACGTATTTAAATGACCGGTCAACCGATCAGTACGAACTTATTTAATAAATCATTATAAATTATCATCGATCTATAGATGGTTGACTAAACGTGATGATTAAACTGGAGCAAGAAAACCGTAGTTGTAAAAACTAGTTCCATTTACATGAGAAATTAATGTTTATGGGTATGTATGACGCATATTTTATAAAAAGTGATAAATAGTTTCACTTTCTGCGTTATAACTAGAATTATAAAGTATGGCAGGGATTTTTTCGTTTCTTACAAATTATCGAGTGATAAAAACATAATTATAGCAGAAATATATACTAGATACTCGTACATGTTTTAGAATTACGTAGGTATTTTTATAGGAACATAAATCTTCTCTCAATCGTGTGTCTCATCATGTTTGTGTACCACAGATTCTCGAATCAGTAACAATCATGTACAAGTGCAAAAGGAAGAAGTGAAAACAGCAGTATAATAAAAATATATAAAGGGACCTAAAAACGAGTTACAATGTAAAGGTCCTAGAACTTTCTAGGCTTTTAACTAAAGTAAAATAAAAGTTAGTAAATGCAGTCTATATATCTAGATATCGATAGAAGGTCTCCACTATACGATTAGACCATTTTTCATCCTCATATCTGATTTCGCTATCTTAGAAAAAGACCGTCATATCTCAAAAAAGTAAAAAATGAACTATATTAGTGAGCTATATTTTTGTATGTGATAAACGTTATAAAGTTAGTTTATATGCCTATGGTCGTAAGAAGGTAGTAAAAGTGTCGTTATTGTTAATCGAAAAGTTGTTTCGACATTTAGCACAATATTGTCATATTTGAGATATGTTGTCCTTTCTCAAAAACACAATATAATAAATAATACTTTCTGTGAAGAATAACGCATTATTTTGAGTTGTGTCAGTCTTCTAAAGAATTTGTAGTTATGTTTAAAAATAGTTGTAATATTCTTTTGAGTTATGTCAGTATTTTATAAAACTATTAGAACTTTTTTCATTTTTGAACATGACTTTCTACAAATTAGTTCGACTTGTGACGTTCTTAAAAAAATCCAGTTGGAATTATTTCAGATTACCTATAAAAATATCATAAAGGATTTAAGGAGAGATAAAGTTGACTGTTGTCAAAAATATTGATGAGAGTATATTATGGAAAGTTAAAGATTGAATTTTCAAATGAAGACAAGTATTTTTATAATAATAATTTCCTACAGAATGGCAGTATTTTTTTTTACTTATTATACTATAGCGTCTTTGTTCTTATTGTTACGTGAGAAATATACATTTTTTTGTAAAAAACACGTACCTACTTACAACAATTATTTTAATATAGAAGTGAATTATGTCGAAACACCAAACACGCTTTTTTTTTAAAGAACCTGACAACTCAAAAATTTTATTGTCTAAAATAAGATTAAAGAAGTACATAAGTATGGGGTTGACTGTAGCTTTTTACAGGCTAGTACACAGCAAAGCCAAAATATTAGCCTTTTCTCGCAGTTATGGGTAAAATTTTATGATAATTTTTAAATTCATGGATGTTTTTTGACATACAGACATCTCGTTATTTCGTTTTATTTCTAATCCACTAATTTTTCTTCTTTTACTTTAGTTTATATTTACAACTACATTGCAACAAAATGTATAGAAACATTTACCTACCTAAAAATCCATAATATATTTTCAAGTAACTTTAAATAAATATATAAATAAATCGATAAATGCTAAAAAAGAAATATGAGGTATTCTTTAGCTTTTTCAATTAGAATTTTCATTAATAGTAGATGTCCAACCTAAATATTTTTCTAAACTGGCTTGTTCTTTAAGATGATTGCTTTGTTGATGTCTTTCTTTATTTTTGATAGTTTTTTATTTTCGGTGTATTCAACTGTATTCATTCACAGTCTTTTTATATTATCTGATCTATATCTATTTTTACTTTTGCTACTTCTGTTGCTATTTCTCAATATTCTAATGTTCTTCGATATTGTGTTTTATTTAAATTTCTAGAATTAGGGATTCGATTGTTATTTAAGTTGTTTATTTATTTTCTTCTATAAATTCGTTTGTGTGTCAGTTTCGATATATTCAGTAGTTAGTTCATTGCTTTTCATAATAATCCGTTTAATTTCAAATTCGGCTTTCAAAGACGTGCCCTTACTTTAACCCATGATCACTGCCTTTTCGCACTTACTTAGCACGTAATATAAGATCTTTCCGATTAGAGCGAGTCCAAATCCAATTTCTTGAGACTTTTTATTAAAAAACGGATTCTTTTTATTGCGTACATATATTTTTCCTCTATACAGTTCATTAGGGTAGTTTTTCTATAACTTCTTTTGGTAGAAATGAAATTTTCCGTTTTGTTTGCCTCGGTATAATTTTTTAACGAATTTTGCGTTGAAGTGCGTATTATATTATTTATTATTTTTAAGAATGTTTCCATAAAATGCATGGATATTGTGATTGTCGTATTAGGTTGTAGGGCGGATAAGTTTTAGCGATTTTATTTTCTTTTTAATATTAAATAATCACTTGATTTAAAATTCCTTTGATTGCTTGAAAATATTTTACAACTCTTTGATTTATAACGATTCCGAAATTACTTACTATTTTCTTCATTGTTCTTATTGTTAGATAGAGTCGCAAGATTGTAGGATACTATTTTCTCTTTTTCTTCTCGTTTTGGCTAATCATATATTATGTCTTATTTAACTCTTCTCAGTTCTCCCTTTAGTTCGTTTTTTTTTTCATCGGCGTTCATTCCTGACCCTGCCATTTCCAGCGGCAATAAATATTAGGTATATAGAAAATCTCGAAAGCTGTAAGGTAAGCTGGACAGAGTTAACAAAATAAATATAAATACTTATACAACATATTCCAAAAATATAGAAACGCCTGAAGTATATTGCTTAGTTTTACTATTTCTAAGATAAAACAAATTTGAACAATTAATTATTGAGAGACAGCTTATAGATACCTTAGGGAAATAGGGAGATAACAACTGTCCTGAATCATACATCCATACAAGGAGAATAGTAGATAATACTACCAGTAAAAACCTGAAAACTGATCAACGGGAGAGAGCAAATAAAACAAAACCAAATAAATCATAGTACTTGTAACAAGAATCTTAACATGTGAGAAAATAATTTAAATAATTTAAAAAATTTATAAAAGGTATCTATAATTTAAAATCCCTTTCCGGTTTGATCACAGAACGTTTTCGGACTAAAAAGCCCATCATCAGTATTTTATTACTCAGTACACATGAGTTAAGCCATTAAATATCTGGGTAAAAACCTTTTAGATGTTATGAAATTTAATACCTATGTGTTACATTTTATTTAAAAATATATTGTGATGTTTGGTATTTCCCAGATAACTTACATGGCAACATAAGACTCCCACTAGGGTTGCTGCTCACCCTCAAACGATGTCTGAGGGTCAACATCAATCTGCTTGGTTTGAAGAAAAACTAATTGTTGAAAATTGTTAATTGTTATTGAAAAAATATAGAAAAAATAAATTATGAAATATATTCAAACGATACGACAAAAGTGACTATTAGAATTTTATGACAGTTAGATCATTGTATAAATAATAATATTTGCCGTTTAGGTTGAAAATTTTATTTTAACAGGAAAAATCACCGAAAAAACGATTTCCTACATTAGTACCTACTTATGTATTTTATAAGATCCGTATAGAGATAGTTACTTTATAAATATTATTTCACCCAAAAAGACGCACACTCTAGTACATTAGGTAGTAACCTTGTAACTTGTTTATTCAAATGTATAAAAAAAATAATCCTTTTTAAGACGTAATGGTTAATGGCATATTGATCATTTCCATTTTTATATCAAGGAAATCCAAATATTGTCATATGACATAATATATTGATGAACAAAAATTAAAATTATCAAGGTGACTGGGACATTACAGCCTTGACCCACCTTATCCACCCTTTCACTTATTGTCAGTGAATCCCTACTATTTATCACTGCCGACAGGACCTTCCCCAACGTTCAGAAATTTTTGTTTTGGTTAAAATTTCACGGTTAATTAGGAATTTGCGATTCGCCGACCTTTTGACACCTGGATAACGCAATACAGTCATCGGCGGCGGGACTATTTATTGCAAAGTCAGGTTTAAAAATAAACACAAAATACGTTACATGGAAATAATACCGACGTTAAAACATGATAAATAAGTCAAAAGTTTATAAAAATCGTTAACATAACCTACCTTTTGTGGCTCTGAAACAAAGTTATAATCCTCTGATCGGCAAAAAAACTATACACTTTATTAAAATATAATAAATATTTTGCACTAGAACACACACAAAAATAAAAACGCTACTGCTAGCTGGGGTATTTTTAATACAAAAAATAAGAATTTTCTTTATTCCATTTAAGAACTGGATGTATCGATTCAAATTCACCACCGTTGCCAACCATACACAGAATGTACTACTGGTAAACTGATGGCGGGACGAATCCGTTGCATTTTGCCGGTTGTATACTAAACCGATGTTGCCAACTCTATAGTAATAAAAGTTTTTACTTAAGTGTGTAATATACAATAAATAAAAGTTTTCAGACAATCTAAAACTACATCCGTTTTGTGAAAATATAACATTGTTCTACAAATTTTCTTAATGTAATTTTAACTACATACCTGTATGCAGAACAATTTTTTATTTTAATATTTAAAAAAATTGTGAAGTTTTTATAAAAAATATTAAAATTTGTAAAGTTTATGAAGGTTTTTTATGAAGTTGTTATCTTCAAAAGACAATGAGAAACGTGTAATAAAAGACATACTCAAATTTTGAGTAATGTCGCGTCGGCAGGAATATTAGCTGTATCAACTGAGATAGCACCCGAAAAGACCAAATCTTTTTCCTGAAAGCCGTCTTTTATAGACCAGTCATACTGCAACCAATTAGATTTTTGTTCATCTTGCATTTGGACAGGATACCCATTCCAGAATTCTGGGACCATTTACCAGTCTTGAAAATGTCTAGTTTCTAGTTAATGTGAACCATATGTTTGTGGAGTCATTTTGTAGTCTCCAAAACTCGCTTGCTGCATACTATCTAATACCTTCCAGCCTTATAGCAGCAAAATATGGTTGAGTGTTTCAGGTTCTACTACAGACGAAGTCTGTAGCTTCAGTCTCCATAAAACAGTCTCATTATATACAGGGTTCATCTGACTGATGCATGTATAATAAGGAAGCCTGTTATGATTCTGAGCTGATTCCTGCTTTTGCATTACTTCAAGCCTATTAGGAACGATTTCAATTATAGTCCATTAGAAAAGTTACATAGGCAAGAGTATGCCTATTCGTATGTATCATGTTTTATTCTAACAATTTTTGTTTCTACTTAGTGTTCTTTTTATCGATCTTATTCTAGCAAGATTTGTTACTGATGTTGACCGTTCGTTTTTCATTATTTCTATCTGTTTTACAGTTTGGTTTAATTCTATATATGCATCAATTAGAAAGACCTAAAAGTTATCTAAAACATCTACTGGAAATAAACAGTAAAAATAAACATGAAAAACAAAATAATTTACTCAATTAATATATTTTAAGAGGTGTACGCCAGGATTGGTTGATTTGAAAATATATTAATAATTTACAATATGCAAGACCATTTAGTTTTTCCGCTTTAAATATTATATTTGATAATATTATTATGATTATATAAATACTTATGTTTGATGCCAAATCTAGTAGAAAAAGCGAAATAATTTATCTATAGTCCATTTGATCATCTCGGAATATTTTGACAGATTCATTTTCGGAAACATACGTACAACATACAAATTCTTCGCACACGCAGACTTCTTTCATTAACAAATTAATAGCAATCTATAAACGACTATAAATTTTCAAAAATACATTTTTGTTTTAATTGAGGCATTTTAATTTTATTAAGAAACTAGATGTGAATATTTGTTTAAATATTTAGTGGGTCAAAATTTAACCAACATAGAAAAAAATAATTACTCAATTAAGAAAAAGTGGGTGAACATCCAAAAATTCCTTGTTGGGCGTCAAACCCTTGTGCCGACCTGTCGAATTGGCTTACAGGATTTTAATGATTGCTTGCTAATTCTTAATTTTGCCTCTTGTGGAGTTTATACTCGTACTCTATTGTCAGGACTGCTTGTACGATATGGTCTATATATTATCTAACCTAACATAATTAGTATGTACATTTTCTTATAAAAATTTTGCATCCACTCTTTTTTCAGTACCTTGTCCTTTGATGAATAATTAATACATTGCTAGAGTTTTATAATATTGGCGGCATGTATGATATTTTCATTGATATAATATTTATAATTCGAATATCTCTAGTAAATCATCAGGTTATTTTCTTTTATTCTTTTTTATTCTGACAAAATTGTACTTGTCGTTTTTTTTTTCGTCAATATCATTCTTAAAATTTAAGTGAAGAATTTTACTATATTGTCGGAACTGCCTGTACGATATGGTCTATATATATTCTAACCTAACATAATTGGTATGTACATATTTTTATAAAAATTTTTGCATCCACTCTATTTTCAGTACCTTTTCTTTTAATGAATAATTAATACATGGCTAGAGTTTTATAATATTGGCGACATTTATGATATTCTAATTGATATAATATTTATAATTCAAATATCTCTAGTAAATTAACAGGTTATTTTCTTTTATTCTTTTTTATTCTGACAAAATTGTACTTATCGTTTTTTTGTCGTCAATATCATTCTTAAAATTTAAGTGAAGAATTTTAGCTTCTGCAGAATCTAAATTTGTCATAAGTTTTAATTTATTTAAAGGTCTTTTTTACAAAATTTTCGATAAAACATAACAAACCGTGAAAACACTAATTTAATTAAAAATGCAGATGTTTTCTGACACTTAACACACCTTCTCAATGCGTGCTAGAGATACAAACTTACCGGTCCATGAGGAAAACAGCGAAAGCCATGTATCTATTCAAAAAAGGTACCAGAAATAACTGTTGAAAATATAGAGACGAATAATTAATCAAGAGGGGTATAAGCGTCCTTATCAATTGTGATAATAATATTATTTATATTTACAAGATAATACAACAAACAGAATATAAACTTCTAGAAAGAGGGATTTTAAAAAACCATGTTAAATGTTAAAAAAATGTTAAAAAAACATTAAAACGTAATCTTAATTGCCTGATTGTTTGATCAAAATTTCATGGGAGGCAAGACAATATTCTAGTGTTGTGCGTTCATTTTTTTTTCTTGTTTAAATAATTTACATTATGTAATTTTAATAATTTGAAGAATTCGATTATATTAGCAGTGATATTAGTTTAATGTAAATATTTTATTGTTAGATATCACAAATAATTAAAATATTTTAAAATTTTATTGACTTCTTCATAATCTTGGTTTTCATGTGAACCGGCAACACTGCCGTACATAAAATATAAACCAAGAACACAGTGACCGGGCAAGTAGGGAAGTGGGGTTCGTTCGTCGGTCCGGATTGGAGCCCGGAACAAGGGTCTACGTCACCGCGTCACGACGAAGATCCGGCGCGACGCGCCGTCCGCTCTGGCTTCTTCTTCTCTTCGCTCGATCCGACGACTCAAGGACAGCGCTGTGATCGGGAATAAGGATCAGGGGGAAACTTGTATTCGAGGAACGTGCCGAGAAAAATTTATGCGGTCGAGGAGGAAAACTCATTTTTAACAACGTCGTTTCAAAAGGAATTTTCTTACATAATTTATGTAACAGAAAACTTAATACATTTATCAGACAAAATATTTCTTTTGTTACTTAAAAATTGTAACAATCGTAACTTAAACCTTGCTTTCCATTTACGTCTTCGTCATCTATCGTCTTTTTTTTTAGCCTCATATTTTCTTATTATTATTTAAACAGCAATCCTCTATCAATTATTTTTTGGTTAAAGTTTTAGATTTCAATTAGATTTAACAGAAATTAGAAAAACATAATTTACATGATTATCTTAGATCAACTAACTGATAACTAATAGACCAACAGAACAGCACTTAGCGGAGAAAAGGAATTGTTTGTTAAACAAATTTAGCAAACTGCATGGAATATTTCACCTGAACTGAACCATAGAACTTAAGTTAATAATTACCCTAAATAATACTAGAAAACTAATCGTGGAGAAAAGAAAACTTGGAAGGATCTAGCGATTCAGAGGTCTATCTGAAAAAAAAAACTAAACAAAATGCTCCTACTAGACATTTAAAAAAGAGAATGAAATGATGAAATAGATGAAAGTTTTACGAAGAATATTTAAAAGGTAAAAAATAAACAAGGATATGACGTGTGCGAACAACAAGAAATCTTGAAAATCATCGAATGACATCTACAGAACATTATATAGTCGAGATACTCACATTCCAAAGAAATTCCAGAAATAACCGAAGAGGAAATTAAATCAGCGTTAAAAGCATGACGAACAAAAAACACCTAGAAAAGATGGCATTGTAAGTGACATGATAAAACTAGGAGGCGAAAGCGTCATAAAAGCTTTAAAAACTCTTTATAATTCTGCCTTTTTGAAGAAATTACACCAGAAAAATAGAATAGTGGCGTTATGATAATATTTCATAAAAAAGAAGATGTAACAGAAATTGGAAACTAAAGACCTATCACCTTGTTATCTCATTTATGTAAGCTCTTTATAAGAATAATTACTTACAGACAGACCTAAGCTAAATTTTCACCAACGATTAGAGCGAGCCGGATTTAGGAGTGGCTTTGGAAACGAATGACCATCTACAAGTAATAAAATCCTTGATAGAGAAAGTTATAGAATACAACAAGCCATTGATATTAATATATGTAGATTTTGAGAAAGCATTTGACTCAGTCCAGCATAGCTTCATGTTGAGAGCTCTTAAAAAGTGCAATATTGATCATAGGTACACAACTCCTTCGAAATATATATATATATATATATATATATATATATATATATATATATATATATATATATATATATATATATAATAGCGCAACAGCTTCAGTGGGATACCATGGCGACTCAAATTAAATCGCGAGTTTCTGAACAACTTGAGGTTTGCAAACGACATAGTCCTTATTGCAGACCGGGTAGATCATGCTAAAACCTCAATACTCCGGGAGTATTGGATTTTAGGAAGTATAAGACTTCCAAATTCCAGAAGAACTGGAAGAGAGGTGATGAAAATACAAAAATATAGCTAAGCTCAGAGGAATTTAAATGGCCAAAGAGACACTAAATCTCAAGTGAGTGTTCGGGCTAGCTTCAATGCACTGGATTGTGGCTTTAAAGATATAAACAGATAGCAAGGATACTGAGCTAATGAGACAAGAAACGAAATGAGACGTGGTAATATCAAATGTGATACAACTAAAGAAGGTCACTGGGAATAAATTTATAGAAAGAGAACAATAAGAAGAGAAAAAGAAGGG